GTAATATATAGGGCGTTTCTTAAGCTGACTCCACTATTGAAAAATATACATACGAATTTCACAACTCACTAGTCCATTGTTTCCGATAATATGAATTTGCAATTCCCATAATCGTTGCATTTGTGCTATACATTCAAGGTTTCACATTTATTTATACATTTTCATCTCTACATTAATAAGTGCACTATTACTNTATACACTGAAAAAACAATAAACAAACTAGAACTGAATGATAAAAAAAATAGGAACTTTGAATATTGAACACAAAACTGTCATAACAAATTATCAACACATATTTATAAAAGATGTTTAAACTGTAAACTTTCTGCTTGGACGTATTTTGCACTGAGCCGACATAATTTTTATATAGAATTTTTAATGAACCATGGAGAAAATGACCTAATTTCTTTAATCCAATTGAGCAATAATTGAAAAAAAATTGTTTTAACATCTGTTTTTCCGTTAACTAGCTGTCACCTCCTTACGATCGACAACCCTCATAAATGGAATCATGTGCGAGCTAAAGATTAACGAGCTTTAACTTTTCAACGTGCCATATTAACAATTTCGATGTAACATAGAAAATAATCCAGATGGTTCAGGTCTGGACCTCTGGCAGGCCATTGCACAGGTCTCCGTTTTCCAATACAATTTTGTAATACTGAAGTTATATACCTCTCACCGGTATCTCTACACCAGTATCTCACCAGTACCTCTATCCTCGTGTATTACGGGACCAACAATTCTGTCCTAGCCACGCTTGTGACTTGTGGCTAACTTCTGCTTTGGGGTTTCTACCGTACAATAGTGCTTTTTGTGTCTATTGAAGATATGATTTGTAGAAAAACTGCAATAACCAGTCCATATTACTCTAAGTAAAAACTCACCATCTTCAGTAATTTTATTAGAAAACCAGTAACAAAATTCCAGTCGTCTAATTTTTTGACTAAAGTAGATTTTATATAGTCGATAATTATTATCAATATTATTCAGGTTCGTCCTTCTCTCAACTTCAGGCATTTGATTTTCATCTGGCATATTACTTTTTTTATAGAATTTGGAAATGGAAATTAACATTTCACTGTAACAATGACATTTTTATTTCGGTCCATAGCCGCCTTCCATTTTAGATTTGGGCAGTTACTCGGCCAATGATGCTTTGGCATGGCCTACTTTGAATAAAAATAATATAAAGTCAAATCGTTACTTTTCACCAGAAATAATTTTCGAATAATGGATTGTGATAAATTCGTTATGGAAAGCTCTATCGAATATTTCATTACATTGGTCTATATAAAAAACAAAGCTGATGATGGTTTCTAAAGAACAAAACGTCGGCTTCAAAATCTCAGCACTGCATGTTGTAGAAGGAAAAAGGTTGCTATGAAAAAACGTGTTTTTGGTTTTCATTCGCGATTCAAATGACGCGGGAAAAATGTAAAAAGGAAATCACGAATTTCAGATTCATTCAGGATATCTCCCGAAGTATTCGTAGTTTAGCAGATTTTGAGGATTATTGAGGTAACTCAATAATCTCAATGGTGATCCTCGAATTTGGTACACCCTTTAGTTCGTTTTTGAAAATTTGTGTATCATAATTTGCTCGTTTGGAATTATTTTAATTATTTGATCCCTGTTGAGAAGTATTTCATCATCGTAACACTGTGTCACAATTGTCATTTCATTTCTTAGTTTCAAGATATTTTTAATGTACTTACATGAAAATTCATGTGAATTGAACCCTTGTGAATAAGCTCGAACTTGAAGAGTGTGAATAAATAATCCGATGAGATTCCAATTTAACCATCAGATTAGACGTGTCCGTCGGTTTACCCACCACGCCATGTTTGTTTTCAGGCTGAATATTCATCAAGAGGACGGTTGAAGAGGATGACGGGATAACCCGGGATATCGAAGTTCCGCTCTGATTGTTATTTCATCGCGGCCTCATTGATGTATTGATTTAATTGCTGCCTAAACACTGGATCGAATAAGGGTTCTATACGAAGGGTCAACGTCATAAGTTTTCTGGTTGGGATTATCTGAGGAAATTGGTACTTGAGCCATGAACAAATGAAGTAGAAATTATATTTATTCGGACGATTGAACTGATACCTCGATTATTCCAGAACCTGAGGATAACATCGACTTTCTACGAAATATCGACCGATTGAGTGAAGAGTATTGTTTTTTATAGTTCGGTTCGTGTTCTTAGGGCACACGATTTTCATACACTATTATGATCTTGGAAATGGCCATTTCTGTGATTGTATCGAAATTAGGTCCACAAAAACTACCCAGCAACGGAGTATACGATTTTCAGCTGAATATGAAAAACACAGTCTTCGTAGCAAAATGTTCGGTCCCATTATCAGCCTCTCCGGATATATGATGATCCAGTCATCTCAGTCAAAATTAGGTAAGTCGAACTTTGAGATACCCAGCTACCAACTCGTATAAACCTGTATTTTGACGTCCTCAAAGTCGTCTCGAAACCTTCATATGTTAAGGTGTACGCGACTATTAAAATCAAAGGTCAAAGCTATCAGGCAAGAAGCACATGAGGTAATAACTCAAAATGTGAATACTGTGAATACTATTTCCCTAACACCATGTGATGAGGCTGAGATATTGAATATAATTAAAGAACTGAAGACAAATACTGAACCTGGGTGTGATGGAATTTCTGTGAAAGTTATCAAAACATTATCTGAACATGGTTGAAATGGAACAATGGTTAAAATAGACGGTGTACTTAGCGACCCATTAGAAATTCTGTTTTAGGGCCAATCCTATTTATATTATATTTGAATGATATGTTACTCATTGATATTTCTGGAAAAGTGGTCTCATATGCTGATGATACAGTACTTATAATTTATGGAGCCACCTGGGAAGATGTCATATTTCATACAAGAAACGATATTGACACTATAGTAAATTGGCCTGATGATATAAATTGATGGTACTACGTTACTACGTGGTAGGAGATCATGATGATATTGTTTAAGTTTGAAAATGTCCATATAGGACGAAACTGCAGTAACGTTAGTTACAAATAAAAGTGGTAAAAACATAGAAATTTTCATTTCTCTTTTCATCATGGCCTGACGATAGTTTACTGACAATAAATATTGGCAGAAAAGCAGACATGCAGAGTTGGTTAGGACAAAAAGGAATTCCATTTTCCGAGGACATGGTTAAGGCCGAGCTTATGAGTGTCATGAAACAGCATCGTGATAGATATCGCTAGCATGTGATGGATACAATAGCTCGTGCTGACGGCATCACCATTTTGAGACTTCTTCCTTACCATTGCGAGTTAAATCCGATAGAATTAATCTGGGCTCATATTAAGGGTAACGTAGCTCGTGAAAACGTGACACATAAAATTCCCGATGTCCAACGTTTATTAGAACTCACAATGGAACTGATACGGAAAGAAGATTGAGATAATGCTGTAGCCCATGTGATCAAGGAAGAAGAGAAAATGTGGAGATTGGACGGGATGTTAGACAGTGTTTTCGATCAAATAATAATAGATTCAAGTGTGTCTGGGAATTCCTCTTCGGACAAGTCAATGGATTCTGCAACTTCATACGCATAACATAGGTAATTATTTTGAAATGACATATGTCATCATGTGAAAAATAGTATTTCAGTAAATTCGTATAGTTTCATGTGAGATAGATCATGTATTACTCAATTAGTATATGTGTTGATTTCTCAATTCCCAGGATCAACTAGATATTGTTTCAATATCATTATTTTTCATGCATAATTGAAATCAAAACATTGCATATGAAGGAAATTTCCCAGTCAACATTTGGTACTTATTTTGATAGAGAAATCGATCATCATTATTAATCAATAATCTTCATTGATTACACTTTATTTGTATGCACAGATATGCAGCAACTTTGATGGGATTAACATGTGCATTAACCATATCTTGCAGAATAAAAATCTTCAGAGTTCAATTACATTTTTTCTGTGATTCTCTGTGATTAGGTACGTCTTGATGGATGTTGATACATAGGAAGAAAACCGTTCGAATAAAAATCAAGTTGAAATGGTAATGTATTTATTAAAAAAACAATAACAAAATAATATTGAATCGGATAATTGAAATTCCTATAAACATTTCAATGAAATATTATTTCGAATAAAAATTACTTACAATTTAATGGACTAGCACATTACAAACACTGATGAAATTCTCTCAATATTTTGATAGAAACTGATACAAAATCTTACTAGTGTGCTTTTTTCTGTTAATCGAATCTACTTGTAATTTTTAACATATACTAATGTTCGACTTCCAACTGAAAGGACCCTGTATATAACAATGGAGATATTTTAATTGAACATCTGGTGTGAAAACTATTGTAATCTACGTAGATACATAAGTGATTCTTGGTGAGACAATTGTTCAATGAAACAGTTTTTTAGATTTAACAATCCTTTGAACCCTGATATAACACCTATAGAGCTAGAACGATTGCTATATTCAAAACATATTACATATCAAGTGTTTTAGGTATCTATCAAACATATTTCTGATCACATAAATCTAGTGCAACCTCTCAATATTTCAGGCGATTATATCAGATTATTCAGGTTTGTTATGTGAGGCATTTCAGTATTTAATTGATGAGTTGGATTAGGTTTACCATTCCTTCCTCAATCGAATACGTGCAAACTGACGATTCAACGAAAACAGGAAGATTTTCCACATATCAAAGACTTCTATTTCATACAGAAATGTTTAATTGCAGTTTAGTGACTCTTATGTGTATACAAAGATTTGTTGAAATGAATAAGTTTAACAAACAAATGAATATGATGATGAAAATGAGGTTATGGCAGGTTTTTTACAGATTTTGAGATGAACGATTTTGAATTTTTGTTTGCAATTCCAAAATTTTCAAGAAATCATGCAATCTTTCTCAGGTGTACATTAGATTGGTTTTGAGAGAGTTCTAGAAATCTTTTTATTCAAGAAACTCGAAGAAAACTATATGAGAACAAAATTTGTTGTCCACTCGACAGTTTTGGATAGTTTGTGGTGCAATTTACGAGCTTTATTCTGAAGATGTATTTTCAACAGTTACCTGACTTATAAAAAAATTTGAAAATGATGATGAATGAAATGAATCTGAAAGAATTTTTCCTATGAAGAAATTGACAGTTGCAACAGAATAGTAGGTTATGTTATTTTTACCAATATTCTTACTTTGCACATCAATTTCAATTTTGCTAATTTAAATAGTGAACAGTTGTCTGTCGCTCTTTATAAAAATAACTTTCTTAACGATTTTGCATATACAATCACTGTTATTGTAGGAATAAGTTTGGAAATATGAAAAGTATAGTGAACTGACGCAATCACATGATTCAATGCAATTCTGAATTCTGGATATTCTCCAATGATAGTTTTTGATATTGTCAAAAACGAAAATACTTTAGAACAAGAATAATATTTTTTGACCTCGTATGCGATCTAAAGATTTTAATAACCAATTTTTGCATTGTTCAGATTGCCGCAGAACATTTTATGGAGATTTTTTTTTCTGAAACTGTCGATAAAATAATTTTTCGTATAGTAGCAACTCGGACTTATTTTATAAAATGACATTGACCTGATACGTAGTTTGATCGTTCGGAAAAAAATGTTTGTTGTTATTTTCTATTACGCAAACTATTTTTGGAACAATGACGAATTTTTTTATGTTTCCATCAGTTTTAACTTGAACAAGATGTAATATAAAAGTCTTATTGGGTTCCTTCTGTCACTTGAGTATGTATAACACATTGTCTCCACTCTAGTGCGGTGAATTTCGAAATTTCTTTCACAAAAGTAGAACAGACTAAGTTGACAGCAACAAGTTTTCTTTGTTTATTTGTTTAACTTTCTTCTAGTTCATCAAATTGCCTCAAATAGCTGTTGTACTCGAGAAATCAATTAAAGAACATGCCATGACCTTTGAATTGAAAACAGGACAATCAGTGTTTGAAGGATGAATAAATAATTAATGATATATACAGTAATAAATAGACTTTGAACATAATTTACAACTATTTACATTCCAGAAGATAGGTATAGAAAATTTGAAATCTAGAAACTTTGGTTGGACATAATATACAAGTATTTACAATTTCTACATGAGGTGTAACTTGGAGATATTTGTTTATCCGGAACTACTTCCACATGGAATGTTACATATCAGTTCCAAGAATAAGTACATCAAAACAAATCTCAAAATTTGATAGGAAAATGCTTCAACACGTTGTTTAACAACTGCGAAGTATTATACAAATTATCATACAAAATAACAATCAATGGAGGAACACTCTTTGGACTATGTGTGAACACTATACATTGCTAAACGTAGTGCTTCAAAATGAAACATACGAAAGAGCTCCAAGGTCAATCGACTAATAATGGACTGCAATTGCACTGTTCTATCCTAGAAATTAAGACATTGTCGTTCGCAAAATTTTCTACGCTTTCTCTAAGTCAACGCCAAGTCAGCACTGAGTTGGGATAACCGTCTAGGATCCCTCCTACCCCTCTTGGAACTCCTACTACTGGTATGATTGCTGTATCCCGAGTCGGAACCCAGGGCGGAATCCTGCGAATAGGGCTTAGGTACGGGCCTGAAGGTAGCCAAGTGGCTCAAAACAGGCACACTCTCGTACGGGCCAGGTGTCTGAGACATACACTGTATCCTTTGCGCTATACTGGGAATCTGCCTGCGGGTTGGCGGAGGGTGTTCCACGCTTCCTACCCTCGGATACAGTTGAAGCAGAGCATCAAGCAGCATCCCTTCGTGAAACTCCTGCCTTCGTCTGTCCAGACTCCTGTGTCTCTTATTGGCAGGAACGGGGGGTAGAGGTTCGTGAGGCCTTCTAAACCTGGGGATTTCCCGCCTGAGGGACAACGGATCCGTCCTGTATGGGGGAGGGGGCATTTCCAGTCTTCTTCTTTCCATTTCACCTGCCAGGCTGAGCTCATCTTCAGCGAATTCGTCCTCGCTGTGTGGGGCGGGGGCCAGCTCGCTATCGGCATCGCTGAGTTCCTCGTAGACAGGATTGTATAGGTCCTGGGAACAGTACGGATCTGGTCCTGGAGACGAACACAAGAATACTGGTGGGTGTGTGGATATGGGGTAGCCGCTGGGGTAGTGGATGTTGTTTTTGACATCGATCATCTGGAAATAAAAATTTGATATCAGTTTCGTGAAGTTATAATGGAAGGTAAGCACAAGTTGTTTGAAAAATATCACTGTATTAGCAAGTACACTATATATAAAGCAATTGTTTCAAGTTTGACGACGCTACGGTTTTTAGTATCTGTTCCAAAGAAAGTTAGGTTAGGTTAGGTTAGGGCCAAAGTGAGTGGGTCTATTCTATGTGCTCAGCTGTTACATCATTTTCCGAACAGAGGCGACACACACTGTCTTCCGACAGTCCGAGTCTCTGCATATGATGATTCAAATGACAGTGACAGTGACCCATTTCGAACTTCGAAGGAGCTTTGGAGGTAGCCAATCCTGGAAGATTCTGCCAGAAGTCCATAAATCTTCTTGCCTTCCAGGTGTTCAATCTTTGTTTGGCAAAGTCTGAAGTGATGCCAATGACAGGTTCCGGTCTGATGAAGCTGCTTGCAGTACCCTCCTTTGCAAAGGAGTCAGCAGCCTCTTTGCCTTCCATGCCAGGATGGCCAGGAATCCAGACCAGAGGCAATCTGTTACGTCTTCCTATCGAGGAGAGTCGTATTTGGCAATTTGCTACCAATTTAGATGTTGCTCGGTAGGAGCCAAGAGCTTCCAACGCCGCTTGACTGTCCAAGAATATTTCTATTGACTTCCAATCTCTCCGCACACAATTTAATAGCGTAAATTTCCGCTTGAAATACAGTCGCATAGATTCCTAGGCAGGTTGATATCTCTGCCCTGGGTCTGCAACTGAAAACACCTGCACCAGTATTGGAAGGTGTTTTTGATTCAGCTGTGAACTAACAACTATCTGCTCTTGATATTTTCTTTTCCCGAAGGATCCAGTGTTCTCTACTCGGGAACAGTACTTTATGAGGCAGTTCATTGTTGACAGTTGGAGGCATGAAGTCAGAGGTCATTTCCAGAAAGCTGTGACTTGCAGTATCAACTGACAATCTGTTGCACACTGCATTTAATTGATTTGTGCACTTGGCAATTTGCACAAGTCTATTTGCAGTCCATCTGGCCCCTCTCTCCAGGAAAATGTGGAGAGGAGGTAGATCTGGAAGGATCTCCATGGCTGCTGACGATGTGGTACTGATGGCACCACTGATGGCCAGCCAAGCCTGTCTCTGTAAGCCAGAAAGCTTCGCCTGGGCCGTTTTCTGTAAAGCTGCAAAGAAGGCGAAGACCGTTTCATTTGCAGGCAAGGTTTTGGTATAGGTTTTTTGCAATGCGCGTGGAATTTTCATTGACTATCTTAAAAAAGCGAAAACCATCAACGACGAGTATTATACGAACTTATTGCAACATTTGAATGAAAAAAAACGAGCAAAAACGGCCGCGGCTGAGAAAAAAATGTTGTTTCATCCAGAACCTGCATCAGCTAACGAATCCATTATCGCAATGATCAAAATCAACAATTGAAGTTTGAATTGCTACCTCACGCACCTTCTTCTTCAGATTTAGCCCCCTGGGATTATTTGTTGTTCCCAAATTTGCAGAAGTAGCTCAGTGGTCAAAGATTTTTCAACGAAGAAGAAGTGATGTCGGCAGTTAGTGGCCATTTTGAGGAGCAAGGCAGTTCTCATTCTGAAAACGGTATCGAACATATTCAACGTCGCTGGAAAAAGTATGAAATAAATGAATTTTTTCCAAAATTTTCTTGTGTTTTCTCTGATGGGCCGAGTACTTCTTGGACCACCCTCATATATCCTGTGCCCGTGATTTTTGCGCCATTACCGGAAAGTTTCAAATTTTTTTTAATCAAAACGTGTTTATTCTGGAGATAAAACTGCAAAAGTAATGCCGTTAAACTCTAATCGATACAAAAGTTACAATTTCAATTGAAGTAAACTCTTCACGTTCTTTATTCGCATCTGAAACTCCCGTAAACCTCACGCAACGGAACTAAAACTCGTCGCAAATGTCGAAAGTTTAAGTTTACGGTCGATATTTGCTGTGGCTGATGGCATATTAACAGAAGTTGGACTCATTTCACCGTTTAGAAAAAGTAGCAATGGGGAAGATGATATTGCTGTGTCACAAGTTTTTTATTAACACATTCATGGCACATTCATTTGCGGAAACAGAATTGAAGAAAAGGATTTACAAACTGCTTATTAAATGGCGACGCATAAAGACTGCAGGAACACGCTTTGAAATTGGTGCCTATGCAGCTTGGTAGAAAAAAGCATATCGAAAATTTAATCAAATAAGACACTGTTCTTTTAATTTAATAATTCTCAAGAAGTGTAGTTCGAGGTGTGTTGAGCTGAACCTCAAAAGGTGGGCAATCGTATTGTGACGTTTACTTCTGACCTTATAATTCTTAGAAGAAAGATGTTACTGAATAAATATCTTCTGCGTACAAGCAACATCTGTTGATTCCATGGATTGTTCTATATTCGAATTATGAATGTACCAGTTACTCGATGCGAATTAATGTCACTATCATGATAATCCATGATGAAGATCTTCATTTTCATACAAAAACGTGGGAATCTTCCGAAGAAACGAAAGAGGCAAATAATTTCAAAATAAACTCTCCACAAACATTTGTAGATCATGCAAAGGAGTAACAGTAAGCCATTCCCAATTGGAACGGCAATAAAAATAAGAGTCCAGTCATAAACATTTCTTGCCTGTGGACCCTAGTCGCTCAGATAGTTAGTAAATGTGCTATCAAATGTAGTTGAGGAGTAAAGGCTCGGCTAGCTGGACTGGCTGAATACTAATTTTTTGTCCGTTTCACAATATTTTTTTATCAGTGCCGTGTGTTCGTGGGGTTAGGTGAGGTAGTGAGTGGTTTTGTCAACATTTGTCAACAATAGATTAAAAAGCGGACAAATTAATTAGCAGGTAGTGGTAACACCAGTTAATTACCGAAAAATAAATTAGGATAATCATCATTTGACAAACAAAGTCCACATCGGACCAAAAAACTTTAGGTATATAAACAGCTAACCCTTGTCTTCAGATTCAGTATCAATTTGCTTCTCCTGAAGATGCTAACCTTGGAAGCAAAACGCGCGTCGAGTGCAAAAATATCAGTTTGGTGTTAGGGTAATTGATCTCTAGAAAAAGTTTTCAACTTTTACACCAAAGGTTCCAATCTCATCGTTCAAACCGGGTTTTGTGAAGCTCTTAGTGTTTTTGGGTACATTCAACAATATGGCCTTTTGGAGACCTTTTGAGACAAATGATGACATTTCGTGTGAGGAATCTGTGTTAATCGACAGGGAACCGGAATTTGAAAATGAGGACAAAGAAGAGAACAAATATTATGTGCAAAGTTCCATAAATCCGATCGTTATTCAACCCGATGATGATTCGACCTCATCCGAATCTAGCGAAGAAGAATTTTGATTTTTCCAGCAATTTTTTTGGCTTCTATTATTTCGTAAATATATGTTTGACGAGAATTCAGTGTGATTATTCGTGTTTTCATTGAATTTTAGAGTTTTCGCCTCGGAAATCAACTACCTTGAATTTCGAAGTTTTTCATAATTACCCATGGTGAAAAAATTCAGTTGAGATAACTTTTTCATGTGGTGATCAATTGCTATGATTGTAAGAATAAGTAACTGAAAAACTACCACTGAAATCACATAGGCCGACGCCTATGTCGAGGCGAGAATTCCTTCTTTGTGCTGTTCCAATTGGTATTGGAAATACTATACTCATTAAACCAGTAAATTCTATTCATTTTAGAAAAAATCATTTATTCTGGGCATATCGCTCCAAAAACAAATCAACGTTTTTCAGCGTGTCACCTATTATTGACAAACAAGTATTCGCAGAAAGGAATTCTTGGTGCATTAATTTTCAACCCTCCTTGCGTTTTAATCTACCGTTATTAGAAGAAATTTGTGGAATAATTTGAATTTACTCGACTGTTGGTGCAATGTGGCTACCAAGAAATTAGCATTTCATGGCCCTCATGAAAGTGTTCTCAAAACTGTTTCAAGCACCGAGAATTTTATAGTCTAATGTTGCGAGAATACGGCATTTAATTATTGAATTTTGGTTGGATAGTGATAACAACTGAATGATGAAGAAAACGATAAAAAGGGATGATCATTCAATACGAGGTTCCATACAATGCGAGAAATCAACATCGAACTCCATGTGGTACGATTTCTGTTCAAAAAAATGAGGTGGATTCTAGTTTTTCTCAAAAATATTTATTCAATAATCAACTTTTATTCACTTCGGTTTTTATCTTCTCAATTGTCGCAAAACGCCGTCCTTTCATGGGTCTTTTCAATTTCGGAAAGGAAAAAAGTCACAGGGTGCCAAATCTGGTGAATATGGTGGCTGAGGCCAACAAATTCCGAATCAACATTGACGAGTGAGCAGGTACATTATTGTGATTCAAAATCCATGAATTTTCTTCTCACATTACCGAACTTTTTTTTCGTATTGGTTCCAGCGGCGCATAGCTTTGAAATAATACTCCTTATGAACCGTATGCCTATGTGGCAAGAACATCTAATGCAGTGAGAAAAAACTTGACATTTTATCGAACTTGGCGTGCTGTTTTTGGTCTTGACTCTCCTGTGCTTCTTCAATTGGGACGATTGGGCTTGGTTTCGACGTCATAACCATATATCCATGATTCGTCACCAACTATGACACTTTTGAGCAAATCTAGGTCGCCGCTAACATCATTCATCATTCGGCATGATAGGTTTTAGCAAATCGCTGCCTGAAAGTACCTATTTTCCAGTCTGTTATCATGACAGATATAGATTCAACATTCAACAGACGTTTTTTCCAATTCGCTTACAGAATCCTTGCAGACACTTCTGGACCAAAGTTGCTTTTATATATCAGGTGAAACTGTTTTATTAAGGTGGACACGTTGAACGAAATTACTCGACAGTTTCAGTTCAAAAAGTTTCAATCTTTCGCTACAGCACTGTTTCGTGAAACATGTTTCGAAATGAAAAGCAATCTGGAGATAATGAAGTATTCCTGATGCGAAATAT